AAATGCCTGCTATGGAGATTTAAATAAATGCATTACCTTCATCTCAAAACACACACGACCCTGGGTGACACCATGTGAAGCTCGTGCTCCGGCCCAAAGGTAAGCGAAGCCTTCGATGGTCAGTGGATAACCACTGTAGCGATCTCTGGACACTTTGAAGTGCAGATCACAGTTGTCTGAAGAAAGAAAGAAAAAACACAGAAAATGCACCAGTTTTTATTTTCTGTTATTTCAGTTCCAGCATTTTAACTGGATTAATTCATTAATTACAAGCATGAATTATATTGAAACCACATAACAGTATGAGGCACCTGCAGTGCCCAAGCAGCAGCTCTGAATCCAGGTTTTAGTGGACTTATGTCATATACTTTTCACTTTAAAATGTATTAATAATGACTGCAGAGATACTGTTTTCTAGCTGATCACTCTGACATGACACTTGGAACCACTGAAGCTTTGAGTAAAAGTAGTTTACTTGTTTAAAAAAAGTCAGAGGGCCTCATAATTACAGAGGAAGAACAGCGGGGACATAGATGTTTTTAAACTGAGCAGATGCATTTAATTTTACTTACATGTATCAATCGTAACAAGAGTGTCATCTATGTTCTCCTCTTCATCTTCAGCGGGGGGTTGTGGAGTGCGGGATCTGTACAATATCAGCAGAGTATGAGGTTAACAGGCGCTTTCATTGACAGAATGTATACAACTAGAAACTTAAGGGCTGTTCAATATCATCATGGCTCTGTTGGTAAGTTGTACATGTGCTGATTTAGAGAACCAAATACAAGTCCAAAGAAAACTATCATATCTTATGGTGAGAATATTACCTCTTGTCTTCGCGATGCTCATAGTAACCATAGGCTCTGCTCTCCTCGTATGGTCTCTTGCGGCTGTTTCCCCCTTGTCAGACTCAGCTTTCACTTGCTCAGCCTTTACAGCATCTTGCTCCTGCTGATGTTCTGCTTCAGGGCTATCCTGCCTTTCCTGTTCGACACTAGGAGCCTCAGCTTCATCCTCCATTTTCACCTCCACCTTGACTTCTAAAATGATATAAGAAAAATGAAAATGAGCTCCATGTTCAGTTAGAAGAGCTTTACAAATCGAAGTTAATCAAACGGGGAAAAACTTGCACAAAATGCCCCTGCAGACAAAGCTTTTCATGTACAGAGCTGGTTGTGTTGAAAATTACCTGGTATGTTTTGAAGGTTCTGCTCAGGCTCTGGTTCGGGCTCTGGCTCAGGCTCTTCCACAGGCTTAGTTTCCTCCTCAGACATATGTTCGGCTTTGTTTACATCAACATCTGCTGTGAAGTCAGGCATGCTGTGTCCCGAATCTGAAGTTGGACGACTTTCATAAGGCTCGCCTTCTGCTTCCTCATCCTCGTAGTAACCACCAGAGTCTCTACCCTCATCTTCCTCTTGAAGAACATCGTCCTCACCATCTTCTTCCGCTTCTGCGTCTTGTTCCGCTTCAGCATCTGGTTCCACTTCACCTTCGCCTTCATCCGCATCATCACCAGAGTCCTCAGCAGCTTCTGTAATGCAAAAGGAGATCCAATAAGCTCATAAAAACAAAATGCAGAATTATATTACTTGAAATATCATTTTTATTTACAGAAACTTGTAACAATGTTTAATATCCCAGAGCTGTGGACAAAATCCTACTCCCAAACTGTCTATTTATTTATTATTATTCATTAGTAGTAATCAGTAGTAGTAATCATTTATTTCGGTCACAAGAAAAAACAAAAACATCTTGACTGAAAAGGTGTAGGCTGAAGCTTTAGCTTATTACACCTACCCTTATTACAAATCTTATTATTTAACACACTATACTAGTTTGGTTACAAAAAAACAGAACATATCAGAACAAAATTTGTTCTAAGAATTTCTTTCAGAACAAAACAAATGAAACAAACAAAAAACGAAACAGAATAACAGAACAAAAAATAATCAAACCTGCCTTTTATATTTGTTAAACACCATTTTTTTCTAACAAAAATTTAAATCTGGAAAGTGAACGACACATTCTTAATTCCATGGCACAAGTATTCCACAAATTAACCCCTTTTACCGAAATACACCTGTTCTCTATGTTTGTCCTTACCTTTGGTTTTTATACACACCTTTTCCCCTTAGTTCATACCGACTCTCTCTAGTTTCAAAAAACCTCTGAATACTGTTCGGAAGCAAATGATTGTGTGCCTTATAGATAGTTGAGCAGCATTTTAAATGATTATCGAGAAAACTCCCTAATTTAACTCCATTTACTGAAAAACACATTAGTTTTAATGTAGTGAATGCAGAAGGACTTTTAAAATTAAATCTCCGTCTACGATCCTCCTCATTAGATGTAAACACAAACAAATTCTGCACATCCAACTGTATGTCTGCCATATTTTGAAATTAACAATAAAGTTGACTTTGACTTAAGATTGCTGCTAAGGAAGCTTCGTTGTGTCCTTTGTACACAACGATAATAAAGATTGTATGGTTAAATATGGGGATTAAATGCAGAACACATCATTGACCCTTCAGAGATCAAACACATAAAATCAAAATCCTGCAGAGCAGTTAAATATTAAATTAAACTATGCATCAACAAGGCTTACCCTGTTGCTCTTCTGCATCCTCTACATCTTCGTCCTCTTCGTTCTCTGGGGTTTCCTGATAGTATGCATCCTCCTGGTCCCCTTGCTCAGTCGCATCAGTGTTAGTTTCAGCCTCCAGGGCAGTTTTCAGCCTCTCCACCAGATCTGCCTTCAGGCCTTTGGTGTCCAGGCCGCGGCGCTGCAGCTCCTCTTTTAGTTCGTTCACTTTCAGTTTCTTTACGTCAACACTCATTGTGTGTGTTTTTTTGGTGTTTGTTTCAGTTTTCCGATGTTGCTACCTAAACAAAAAGTAAAACAAAGTCAGCAGAGGACATCTTACAACACCGCGCCTCACTGTTTAAAAAATCGATACCCGATGGCGGCAGATCGTCTCAGCACGTCTAATGCTACGTTAGCATGTTAGCTTTGCTACAAGCGCTGGGTGCAACACTGACTGCACACATGCATTCACATGTTCACATTAACTATCTTTGAAGTGCTTCATTCTGAGTTAAAAACTGCACACGGCTACAAAAATGATCGCAAAACACGCTTGCAGCTTGAATATGCGTGAAGTTGTTTACCTCAACTTGCCGCTGTATCGCTAGCCGTGTTAGCCTTGGGTGAGCTAACGTCGCTACAACCGATGGAGAAGTAACTTTTACACAACTTAGTGTGGCTGTACACCCGCTGCGAACATTACTCTGTGTTTTTATACCGTCCCTGTGTGTTTGTAGTGTTTGCTCCGTGTGTAAGTTGTGATGCAAAATAAAGATTAAATAAAGTTGAGGCCTACCTCTTCTCTCGCGAGTTGCGCGGGTCAGTTGTGATAGAAGATAGGAAGAGTGAATGAATGAGTGCTGCCCCCTGGTGTCGTCATCGAGAGCGAAACCTAAAACCGGAAGTCGAGAAGACCACACAAAATAAGACTGGCAGCAATTTCAAAATAATTACATTTACGCCGATATGCACGTGTAATAAATCTGACACTTGTTTTTATTCTGGATTTAAACTGGGTAGACCAATACTGTATAATATAACATTATCTTTGTTTTTATTTATTTTATTTTATTAAATCGATACATTTACAGATCAGGAAATACATACAAAACATTAGGCACATAAATTAGAATTTAATTTTTTTTATTAATTTGAGCCTTTATTTAACCTTTTAAAAATAGTGTTTGTGTTAGCGGCTTCCTTGCTTGAAATTATGTTTATCATTTTTTATTTTTTTATTTAACCTTTATTTAACCTGATTGAGATTAGGATCTCTTTCACAAGGGTGACCTGGCCCATTGACGCAATTCTTGTAAAAAAAGAAATGTGCATGATGATGAAATTAAATGACAATGAAAACGTATTTTTCCTGGAAATTAATAATTTGTCCTGTTGTTCGCCTTATATAGGCTAATGTTGAACAGCAGCCCGAAATATTTTAGTGTATGTACATATTATATTATTATATATATATATATATATATACATTATTCTGGATTTAAACTTGGTAGTCCAATACTGTACAATATAACATTATCTTTGTTTTTTTTATTAAACCGATACATACAAAACAGGAAATACATACAAAACATAAGGGATATACTTAACACAGAAATTAGAATTTACATTTTAAATGAATTTGAGCCTATAGTTAACCTTTTAAAAATAGTGTTTGTGGTAGCGGCTTCCTTGCTTGAAATTAGGGTTGTTTCCTCGTCTTCAAATTAAATGAAAACATATTTTTCCTGGAAAATAATAATTTGTCCTGTTGTTCTCCTTATGGCTAATGTTGAACAGCAGCCCAAAATATGTTAGTGTATGTACATAGATTCAACAAATTATAGAATGTTTCTTACTCAAGTCCACAAAAAAAAAAAGAGTATTCAGTATAAGTAAAAATAAAAATTTGTGGGATAAATTTTATGCAAAATTTTGAATGGAACATATTTTGCTTTTATGCTGAACTTAGCACCAACAAACCAGGCCTTATCATACGACCTAAAAAGAGGACTTTCATAGTTCTCACAAGTCTTGTAGAAAGTAAAAAAGAAAAGGATTAACTATGACGATGATCAGGTTTCAATAAGAAGAAAGTATTGTAATTTCGTTTTGAGTGAAATATGACACAAACTCTATAAACAGACTTCAAATAATTTTATTTTACACAACTCCTTTACAGCTTTCATCACATCCAATGTACATAAACCAGAGAAGAGATTTACAGTTCTAATGCAACTTGAAATGTCCCAAGACTGAATCCAACCAGAGTTCTTCTTTTGACCTAAAGTCGCTTACAATTGATAGCAATAACCTACAGCAGTGAATTAAGTAAGTAAGTTATTAATGTCCATGGCGACCACTGATATAATGACAATCAAATATTCTGGAGCTTTTTATAAAATATATTATCTTTAAAGTCACCATTGCCCTTTACTGTAAATCTTTATGTACAGTGACCTTTATAATCAACATGCAGGATCAGCCACAGAAATACACTATGAATATCATAGCATTCCCCCTTTACAACTATATGCTCAAAACTTGAGCTAATTACAGCACTCAAATCCACCATACACAGATATGTTTGTATCAACCTCAACCACCCAGTTGTACGGGCAGGAGAAAGTGTGTGAAGCAGGGAGTTATCAGCCTTGCCATATAGCAAAGAACAAATGTAGATCATTTTTTGGTGGGAACAGGAAACGATAGCAGTTGCCTGTTCATCTCTCTCAGTTGAGCATCTAAAGTCTCTGTTGTTAGTGTTAGTTCTGCTATATTAGTCTGTAGGCCTGTGATGGTTTCATTCAGCTCCTCTTCTTTGCGGCGAGCGTTAGCAGCTTGCCTGCTGTACTCCAGCACCATACATCCACCGCCAACAAGGAAGATGATCGCCTCTCCCAGCAACTCTGCACCCAGCTCTGCAGCCGCATCTTCATTTAGCGGCTTAATGGTGGAACCCCGAAAGCCCATGATCCGCATCTTTGTTCTCATCTCAATCCAATGATAAACTGTAAGGACAAAGAACATACAGAGCACAGCATCACTCGGACTTCAATATGATTAAGAGTGTTGTTCGCAGTTTCTTCATGCCTACAGAGATTTTTTAAAAGGAAACTGTCTTCACATTTAATCCATGAGGTCAAACTTTTGCATATATAAAATATATTTCTTTTATTTGTTTTCCCCCATCAACTCACTCATTTCACTCCATTTTTAATAGATCAATGCGTGTTTCATTCAGCTGATAGAGGGTTAACATTCTCAGTCTTTCTATTGTATGTATGTGTCTAAGTGTGTGTATGAATACGTGTATAGGTTACTGTATATGTGTTGATTTATTTAGAGGTGTGGTCCCTTGTATAAGCCTGTTATGTTTTTGTTAATCCTATTTTGATGTATTCTTATATGTGTGCTATTAAATAAATAAATAAATAAATAAAATGAGCAGGTGAACAGTAAAATAAATATGAGAAGAATGCAATATGACGCATTTGTCTACATATACTATGTATGCAACGCACGCTAAACCTCTTAATCACATTTTTGTTGCCCTTATTTAGTAGTCGAATGGCACTAAAGGTACTAACTATTGCCACAATTTCACAGTTTGGGATCAATAAAGTAAATCTATCTATATTCATATTTAAATGTATGCACGTTTTGTCCGGTGCAGCTGAAAGAAATGACAGTGTGTTTGCTGGTGGTTGGTATTTAGTGCATTATCTCAGTTACTGCAAATTGTTCCAGCAGATATATGCAAAGTCAATGATATATATATTTAATCTGGTACAGAAAAGGTGAGTCAATCAAGAGTTAAATGCTTGTTTGAATGATCACACATCCCTCTAATTTGTCCTGATAGAAGGTTTTGTGTTTGACAATGGAAAGATTGGCTCACCTTTACATTTACTTTTGTGTTTTTTTCCCCTTATGGAGACTTGATGAAGTAAACCTTCTGAAAATGAATCGAGGAAGAATGTTTTTTTAGTGTAGCCTAATAAACACATGTAGGCTAGTTATTATGACACCCAGAGAGCTGTAGCTTTCCTCCAATATGGAAGGGTTTTTTTTTAACAAACAGGAACAATTTATGTCCCCAAACAACAGTCATAAAATATTATATCTGTTATTTTCTGGTGTTATAATCTGGACAGGAGAGGGGGCCACACCAATTCACCCCGCTGTCAAGCTAAAACTACAACCTGCTCAATGACAGGAAAGACCCGCCACTTCGAACCTGCCGGGCTACGATTGGTCGACAGGATAAAACATGAAAAGTATTGGACATGCCGTTCTGATAACTGCAATCTCATTGGTAGTTGTGGCCGCCCTCGGTTATCCATGTTTCGGCTGTCTGACACTGAAATCTAGCGGTCACTCATCGCTTTTAACTCGGTTACTCACACTGTGCCGGCGGCAAGCAGACGTAATTTTTAAAGAATTCGCTCCTCCGGGCTCCCGCTTTTATTCGGTTCGCCAAAGGCTTGCTCATCTGCCTCACTCCAAGGTAGAGGAGCTTGGCGATTGGGAAAGCACCGACCACCATCTTTGCGGAAATATCTCACCACCACCGTACGGCGGAGCACGTTGACGTCCAGGCTACGTGATGACGTTTAATAATTGACGGACTCAATAAAGCCCGCCCCCTCGTAATTAAAATCTAACCAGGTCAATGTTTCACAGTACTTTGCTCACTTTCTTTACAACTTTGAAGCGTAACCCGTGATCCTACGAACACAGTGAAAACTCGAAAAGTGGTCAGTTAGTTTCTACAATCAGTTATTTTGTGATATTGTTCCTGGGTATGAGATTAATACTTTTTTATTCAAATTTAATTGAACCAGTAACACCAGCATTATTCTGCCCTACAAAGCCAAAGTGCATCATCTACACTTTTTGTGAAATTCACTTTTTTGCACAAATCGTAAGTGCAGTATCTGCTCTTCATCCTGTGAGAGTTTTGTAGTTCTACTGCTTTATTTCCCAAAGATATTGTTTTTTTTTAGTTAAGCAGTATCTGTAAAATACACTGTGAAACCGAGGCAAACTGCAGTAAGTGACACTTACTGCAGCTTGCCTCGGTTTCACCATGAAGAAGGTTTCAGATACTGCAGTTTGAGTTGGTTTCACCATGAAGAAGGTGTCAGATACTGCAGTTTGAGTTGGTTTCACCATGAAGAAGGTGTCAGATACTGCAGCTTGCCTCGGTTTCACCATGAAGAAGGTTTCAGATACTGCAGTTTGAGTTGGTTTCACCATGAAGAAGGTGTCAGATACTGCAGTTTGAGTTGGTTTCACCATGAAGAAGGTGTCAGATACTGCAGTTTGCTTCGGTTTCACCATGAAGAAGGTTTCAGATACTGCAGTTTGCTTCGGTTTCACCATGAAGAAGGTTTCAGATACTGCAGTTTGCTTCGGTTTCACCATGAAGAAGGTTTCAGATACTGCAGTTTGCTTCGGTTTCACCATGAAGAGGGTGTCAGATACTGCAGTTTGAGTTGGTTTCACCATGAAGAAGGTTTCAGATACTGCAGTTTGAGTTGGTTTTAGGACCAACCATGATAAGGCTCATAACCAGGATACTCAATGTAAACGCACTCAATTTTATCAGAACCGGGGAGGTTACTTACAGCACTCATGTAATGGGTAAAAAATATGCAGAAAAGGGAGATATGTAAAGCAAAGATGTGAAAATACTTCAGTTACTTTTGATACGACATGTTGTAAAACGATTCAATCACTGTTATGTTACAAGCCAAAAGTACCTGAGCTAGAAAAAACAACAACACTACAGATCTTAAAGTAATACTTTTATCGAACGACTGCTGCATGTGAAAAAGAGAGAACGTCGTGGTTTCCGTTTATTGAGTAGAAGTCGTGCAAAAGTTATTGAGTACTTTCGAAGTCTCAAAAAGATGCAAAAGTTATGTTTATATTCATGTGTTTGCATTCAGTGTAATTAATTAATTAATTGATTTTAATCAATTGTTCAGTTCATATAAATAGTTGCTCACACACCAAAAGGCCTGTAACTGTAAGATTGTGTTTATATCATGAAAATACATTTTAATCTGATCTATCAAATACTTCAATAAAATAGGAAACAAAATTAGTAGGAAAGAATATTCATCTTGTTTGTCTACTCAATTACATTAAACCATGAACAATTGTTAATTGTTAACAAGATTATCATGTATACTGTCACATGAACATCTACGACCAGAGGCGTTCTATAGAGTCAGTTGGGGCCCCAGGCAAAATGATACGGGGGCCCTCCAACTAGGGTTCAGCAGGGCAATGAGAGTGAATGCAGTCAGATGGGGATAGGAGAGTTTCCTACTGTCATTGCAAAATTTACATTATGTGTCACTGCTTTTAGTTTTTACATTTGTCAGCCCTCTGGGCCCAAGCAGCAGCTACAAAAAATTTCCAAAAGAGTATCACTTATACAATACATCGAGGATAGTAGATACTGGCTATTTCTGAAAATATAGCATCAATGCATCATGCAGAGGGAAAGTCGTTATACTGTAGTTATATATTAAAAATATACAGTTCATAGTTTGTAAAAATGGTCATGTCATGCATATAGGCCTACAAGTTTTTCCTAATAGCCTAAATTTGTGAATATTAAATATGGTCTAGCCTAATTGTAAATAAATAAATGTATTTTTGTTGATATTTTATTAAATATAGATTACTTTGATACTTAATTGTAAATCCTTTCGTTAAAATTGACTGCTAGGTTATGTGCCTCCACAAAGTAGCAACATGTAGACATCCTGTTTCTATTTGCTAATATGTGTTTTAATATATTGTGTGTTTGGACAACCTGCTGCTGTAACGCCACAATTCCCAGTTTGGGATCAATAAAGTAATTCTATTCTATTCTATTCTATTCTATTCTATTCTATACAATTAACGACAATAAAAACTGTTCTGTTGTATGCTTCACCTGGGCCAGCTGTGGCAGAAACACCTGGCTCGGGTTTCAACAGCAGAGTGAGCCAGAGGGGCTGGACTCTGAGCAAAATAATCCACTCAGTTCGCTGTTATGACTAAATGTCTGGAGCAAGCGACGCCACACAGAAGCACGGACTAAGCAACCCGACTTCAGGAAGGAACAAGAAGCTTTAAACGGGGGAAACTTCTTTCGTCTCGATCTGGGACAGCGGAAAAAGAGGCTCTCATTAATTTGAGGTAAGGATTTATTGAAGTCCCACAGCGTGTGAGACATTACGCAGAGAGAGGGGTGACGATGACTTGTTGTATCGTAAAGGTGTGTGAGTTTCGTAGCTCAAATGAAAGTAGGCTATACAGTCATGAAAAGGACTTTTCTATTGAAAAGTTATTTCGGTGGTTTTCTCGTCCATTGTGAGGCGCCTTGAATGCGAGGAGAGCTTGCTCTCAAACTAATGAAAATCAGATGTTACCATTCCTGCCTGGCATGCCTTGCAGTCTGCAACCAAAAAAAGAAAGCTTAAGAGAAGGCTGCTGGACATTGATGTATGATGTGGCTTAGTCTGAAATGCAGCCGGCACAGCATCTTCATAAGTAACTTGAAAATCATGAGTCTTATAGCCGAGGCTATACTTTATAAAAAAAAAGTTCTCTATGGCCTATTTTGAGAAGTTTTGTGACTTCAGCAGAAGTGATTTAAACAGTGATTTTACCTGACTCAGTGCTACGTCTGTAATATTTTATTTGAGGTTCACCACATTGTAAGTAGATGAATGCTGTTGGTAATTACAAGTGTAACCATGAAAAGAAAACTCAGTCATAATTGGTTCATTATGAATTTTATGTTTACCTAGAATTTAAATGTCTCAGTTTTCTATTAGCTTACTTGCAGGGTTGATCACAAAAAATTGCAATCCATCCAAACCTTCCTGTCAGAGCAGGATTTAAATGGCATTTATCCAACATGTGCTACACTGGGTCTTAGTGAAAACCAGCCCGGCACATTTTGTTATGCACCTGCTGTAACCTGTTGACTTAAGAATTGTACATACTGTCACCAGCGTTGACGTTCTTCTATGCGATTAAATACATGCATGTGCACACATGTAAGCAGATGTTAAGTATTTGTCACCTCTTGTTTATGGCCCTGCTTTTGCAACTCCACATTCAGCATGACACACTGTAGGTATTAGATGGGGCATGAAACTTGGCAGAAATGCCTGTAATGTTGTGCACAGCTGAGAGATTCCTGAGTCACATGCTGCGGAGAACAGTGTTGCACTAGAAGTAGAAGATAGCTGGCAAAGTGTTAGAAGTAATGATGCCAAAGGAGCGCCTGCAGCATCAAGAACCAAATGGAGGATGATGATTGTATTGTGCAGGGATTAGTTGTCATATCATTTAAGTTGATACATAGTTTATATACCCTTGGTACAGAGATAGGTTGTTATCCTCAGCTTAGGAGGATCAATAGAGCTGCATTGTTTAAGGCTGCTGTCTTTGGCACCGACAATTGCTTTGATGAAAAGAATGTGTTGTGTGTGTGTGTGTGTGTGCACGTGCATGTGCATGTGCATGTGCATGTGTCAGCTTGCACACACGCTCATCCCTTTGTGTCTATGTAGGTATAAAGGGTAAGCATTTCAATGACTAACTAGGTCATGGGAGTGGGTGTAAGTATTATAAAAAAAAATGTTTCGGGTGGAGTGTTTCTTTTGGTGAAGCGTAGATGTTGAAACCTGGAAGTATAGAAAACATGATTAATCTGAGAACAATTTCTGGAAGGACAAATATGTCGACACAAAATTCAAAAAAAAAAAAAAAAAAACAAGTTTAACTCAACAGCTCATGTAGCCCATGAGAGGAAATCAGCAATGATTATTTACAGTGTTGACAGTTGTTAATAGCTTTATAATCTTCCCCAAATCTGAGGTGATTTTATCGTGAATAAACTTTTTAGAACAAAGTCTTCTTGCAGATCAAACTATAAATTCAGCAGGTGATGTTCTTTCTAGAAAACAGTCACACAGAGTATCAAAGTTTCATACAGGGATAACACGATACCAATACCTCCTGCATGTGTCTGCACAACAAACCATGGTCGTAAGCTCCTGGTTCAGAAGAACCAGAAATGCCAACGTCCCAAAATTTCAACACGAGATATTGGCTAGCCAAAGTCAGCATTACTCAGGATGTTATCTTTGACTCAATATTTCTGGCATGAAAATGAAATAAAGGATTTTCTAATAATAATTTCCTGGATATTTTAATTCAAGTGTGGAAAGAAAACACATTTGAAAAGCTAGGCTTATTTATTTTTTCACTCGAGTGTATCCTAGAAGCACTAATGGTAAGTCTCTGCGGGATTGGCTGGAGGCTTTTCACTTTTAGTTTGTGTAGTCTGCATGATAACATTCAGTTAGACTTAGGTTTTTAGGTTTCCAAGGGGAAATAATAAAGCAAGCTACACAGGGAAGCGTTTTGTAGTGTCAAAGGAATTTCTCTTATCATTCAGTCTCAGCCAAGTTCCCGTACAAGAGGGAACAGAGACAAAGCCATGAAGGATTAGGAAGGATACGAAGGAGCGAACAATAACAGTGAAACAGGAGGAGAGG